ACTCCCGTAAAGATTTACACCCTCGGAAACCCTGTACAGGGTCGCTATGGGTCGGAACCGACTCGACGGCACTTAACAACAACAATGTTTAACATGCAAAGAAGCATTAATAAAATCAGAAATATATGATGGGCAATCTTTATATATTCTAGACCATAGAGAATCTATAATTTCTCATTTTATTATTTCATATTATCGCAGATGAATCTTTTTGAGCTCATTACCTTGGTATTGTTCTGTGAGTACTGCCACTTATCCCTTCTTAATGAGGATAGATCATGTTACTTTTATGGTAATTTTATGTTTCTTTCAAGCAAATTTATCTTTCTTTTCTTACTGCTTACCTTGGTAGTTGCAAAGAAAGTGTGGAGAAATCATCATACTCTGACTGGCTAATAAACAACAGTGTGGCCGAGCTGGTTGCTTCCACAGGCCTTCCAGTTAACATCAGCGATGCCTACCAGGATCCCCGCTTTGATGCTGAGGTAAGAGGAGTTCTTTGGTTGTGGACACTGTTGATGGTTTACAATAACAGAAGTCAGTTTGCTATTTGAAGCCATAGAGGGCATCATACAGATTGACAACAAGCCCTGAGTTTATTGGCAATACTTTTGCACCCTTCCCATGTGATCAGATTTTTAGCATTGGCTCTGTAGGATAAGCACCTGACTGCGAACCATAGTGTCAAAAGTTTGAACTCATCAGCCACTCCATGGGAGAAAGGTGTGGGGTTCTACTCCTACAGAGATTTGCAGCCTCGGAAACTCTACACAGGGTTTCTGTGAGTTGGAACCAACTCCACAGCACCTAACAACCTAACAACAGAAAGTTAGAAATATTTCTTGTTTCTGCCCAGATTTGTAGCAAAATCACTAGTTTTAGTCGATCTTTTATTCTTGGGTACATTTTATATTCAACTATGAGCTATTTGTTAATAAAACTGTGTATATAACAATTATTTCCCAATACATTATAGAACAATGACTGTATTTTTAAAAAATTGTTCCCAAGGAGCAGTAAATTGGTTGGTGTTACTGTTTAATGTTTATTGTGTAAGAGAACTGTGCTGATATACAAACTGTATTAAAGAAATATAGGCTCTGACTTGCAGAACTTGAAATTTTAGCTTCGTATACAGTGCCACACAGATCAATTCACATTAATATATAAAATGTCTTATGTACAAATACTATATGTATTATGCACATAAGCTAAATTTCTTTTGAAAAATTAAAAATGTCTTATTCTAGATTACCAAGGTGAGATCTGAAGAGTAACAGGAGTTTTCTTGAAAAAGGGTGCGGAGATGTATGTTGTAGGTCTGAAGAAAGAGTCTTAGGAGTTGGGAATTGAGATTAATTTAATGTGGCTAAGCTAGAGTCCTAGTGTGCCACTGCTGTATAATCATTAGGCTTCAAGGTTGGTGTGAACCACAAGACTGGCAGCTAAAATTCACCAGCTGCTCCTCAGAAACCCTGTACAGGGTCGCTATGAGTTGAGACCCACCCACGGCATTTAACAAGAAGAAGCTAGAGGAGGCTGGAGAGGGAAGCAAGAGCCAGGTCAACTGTAAGAAACTTTGAAAGCTATGTTTAGGGGTTTGAATACCTTATCTGAGTAATAGGAATCTTGTGGTTGTGTTTTAAATAGAAGAGAAGCAGGATTTTTAAAAGATCACCGGGGGAGGGGGGGAGATTCTTAATTCTGATAATTACACATTTAATCTGTGCAATCCTGAGAGGGAGGTGCTACCATATTCATTTTAAAAAATTGAGAGCTGGTCTCTGACTCCATCCACACCTCTCAGGCTCCATAGCCCTTACTGTTATTATGCCCTGTGGAGTCTCTATTGTCAGGAGTGGGACAGGAATGTGGGCAGGGGGGCCAGGAGCTTAGTCTGATTAATAACACCAGTCAGGTCATCTTTATAGAGCTCTGCAGGGGACATTTTTTTCTAGCATTTTGACCACTTATATTATCTACTATTCTTACAGTCTATGTGCCATATATATATATATACATACACGCAAATGATATTTTATTGCATTTTTTGGTGAAGGTTTACATAGCAGTTTAGGTTCCCATTCAGTAATTTATGTACAAGTTGTTCAGTGACATTGGTTACATTCATCATAATGTGTGAATGTTCTCATCATTATTACCATTCTGGTCGTTTCATTTCTATTTATCTAGTTTCTGTATGGAAAATTTACATCCTCAAGCTCCTTGTATCTATCTACCTGCCTGAAACACTCTTCGTCCATGCTATATTCTCTGTGAGCTTCCTACTCATCTTCTGGCCTGATGTTAGATACTCTTTCTTAAGAAATCCTTTCATGATTCCCAGTCTGGGTTGGGCATCTCCCCAGTGTGTCCCCTGAGCTATCTTAATGCTGACCACCCACTAGCTCTCTTCAGTTCTGATACATTGAATCTGACCTTTGATTATTATCATATATGGAAGAATACCTGCAGTTTGGTTCTATGACTGGCCCAGTGAAAATTATTTAATGTTTATATACTATGTTGTTGTTGTTAAGTGCCATTGAATTGGTCCCAACTCATAGCAACCCTGTGTAGGGCTTCTGAGAAGCAGCTGGTAGGTTTGAACAGCTGAACTTGTGATCAGCAATTCAATGCTTATCTTACAGCTCCACACCTATGTTATGTTCTGTTGTTAAGTGCTAACAAGTGAGTACCAGCTCACAGCAGCCCTGTATAGGGTTTCTGAGGAGTAGCTGGTAGGTTTGAACCACTAACCTTTTGGTTAGCAGTCCAGTGCTTATTGTAGAACGCCACACCAGGACTCCTATACTTGTTGCAGCTGTTGTTAAGTGCCATCGAGTTGGTTCCGACTCAGAGCGACCCTGTATAGGGTTTCTGAGGAGTGGCTGGTGAATTTGAACCACTGACCTTAAAGTTCAAACTGACCTTGTGGTCGAGTGCTTATCCTACAGTGCCACACCAGGACTCCTATACTGTAGCTGAAGAAAATTCAAAATCGAAACATATCCACAAGAGCCAAAATAAGATCTTGAATGTATCCCACTTGAATTTAGAGACCATCTCTAAACAGGTTTGCTGCATTAGACACTTAATAACCCAAGCAACCAGAAGAGGTGTGACATGACATCACAAACATCATAGAGAAATAAAGCAAAAGATCATTAAATAGATAAGAAAGAAAGAAAAGATTAAAGTCTTTAGAGTCAGAAGAGACTCTAAAACTCGCTATTGATTGTAGAGGAGTTAAAGCAATCGGAAGAAATGAGGCAGTAAAAGAGCTGAACAGAAATTTTCAAAAGGCAGCTTGAGAAAACAAATAAAGCATTATAATGAAATGTGCAAGACCTGAGTTAGAAAACCAAAATGGAAGGATATGCTCAACATTTTTTGAACTCAGAGAACTGAAGAAAAATTCAGCCCTTGATTTGCAGTATTAGAAATTCTAGGGGTAAAACATTGAATGATGCACAGAGCATCAAAAGAAGACAGAAGATGGCAGATACTGCTACTTATCTTCAAAAACCCATTCTGATCTTTGTGGGAACCTTTCTGTTTGTGGTATTGCTAATGAGACTCTGTTTCTTTCTGGTTCTGAAATACAGTTGTAGTTGTGTTGTTAAGTGTTGTCTAGTTGATTGCAATCTATAGTGACCTTGTATATGGTTTATGAGGCTGTAAATCTTTGCAAGAGCAGAAAGCCTCATTTTTTTCCCACCGAGCAGTTGGTAGATTCAGACTGCTGACCTTGTGGTTTGTAGTCCAAGTGCTTATCCTACAAAGCCACTAGCATGCTATCATCTTGTTGTTAAGTGCCTTTGAGTCGGTTGTGACTCATAGCGACCCTGTATAGGGTTTCCAAGGAGTAGCATGTGAGTTTGAACCGCTAATCTTGCAGTTCAAACCAACCTTGCAGTTCAGTGTTTTATCCTAAAGTATACAAAACCCAGCTGAAACTTAAGGTGTTTGTGCTGCTTCACTGGTCTAGAATATATATTTAGAGAGACAAAGAAGAATGTCAAAATGGTCATGCCTCCCTAGAAATTGCTTCCCTTTTCTATGAACTTTATGCAGTATACTTTTTTTCCATAGACTCTCCCTAAACTCATATCCACTGCACAAATTAAAATTATGTACTGTTCTACTAGTAAGCCCTATAGGAAGAATTTTCCACTCCTTAAATTTGTGATACTGAAATGTTAATAAATTCTTGGGAAGAGAAGAGAATGAACAAGTCCTGATTATGGATTAAAATAAGATGACTGACTATGTTCTTAATCAAGACAAACACAAATTTGTCTTGTGTTTCGCTCTTCCAAAACAAACAAGTATATTTTTTCTTACCAACTTAAAAAAAAATCATTTTAAGAAACCATATTCTTCAGTTATCTAAACTGATCAATTTCAGAGCTACCATTACCTACTTCCAAATAATCTAGCTTTAGTAAAGGAGTCCTAGTGCGGTGCTGTGGGATAAAGCATGGGACCACAAGCTTAGTGGTTCAAACTCACCAACCGGTCTTTGAAAATCCTATACAGGGTCTCTATGAGTTGGAACTGACTCAATGGCACTTAGCAACAACAACAATAGTAGTGGATTGATGTCATATAAGGGTTGTATTAGGATAACTTTGAGGGCCAAAAACTAATCTGAAAAGGCATACCAAAGGACAAAGGGAATGAGAGAAAAAGGAGGAGGAATAGTTGCAGAGTGGGATGGAGCACCTGAGAAAACAAAATAAAGCAACAGGGCAGTCCAAGCACTTGATACTCTTTAAATAATAACCAACTATAGAAAGAACTTGAGACTTCTTCATGAGTATCATATTTTAAAAAGAACTATTATATTGGCAATACAGTTAAGAAAAAAATAACCCATAAATTCCTTTAGGAAAAGAATTATGAGGTCATTAGCTTTTTAGCCAACACTCTCTTCTAATGTCTTCTTTATCACATGAGGAAGCAATCTAGACAAGTCACAGACATGCACAAGGTATAGCTAGGACCATTATTATCCACTTGTCTTGATGGATAATTATCCACTTTTCTTGATGGATAATTAAGTGTTCTTGCCGTTTCAATGAGGAAAAGCTGCTTACTCCCTGTACAGGGTCGCTATGAGTTGGAACCGACTCAATGGCATTTAACAACAATAACACCGAGTATCTTCAAATAAACGCCTTCCTTTGGCAGTGTCAGAGGGCATCTACATGGTTGCACCCTTGTTTTTCTGGGTTGTTCTTAATTCTGTTAAGCAAAGGTTCACAAACCACAGTCTGTGGCCTGCTTTTATATGACTCGGTGAACCACAAGGTCAATGGCTCAAACCACAAGAATGGTTTTTCACATTTTAAAAATGTTGGTTTGGAAAAAGGGAAAAAAGAGGGGGAGGAAAGAAACAAAGAAAAATATACAGCAGAGACTTTGTGTTCTATAAAGCGTAAACTATTTGTTATCTGACCCTTTAGAGGAAGTATCTGCC